GTCTGTTCGTTTCCTGTTCTGATCTTACACGTGTAGCGTCGGGGTTTCGCGAGCGAATGCATACGATGCGCGAGAACACACCGCAAAGTGCAAAGACGAAAGAAATGACTCAAATGAGGAAAACGAAGAAGAAGAAGAAGAAGAAGAAGAAGAAGAAGTAACAGGAGAAGGAGAAGGTGAAAAAGAAGAAGAAGAAGACGAAACAAAAGACGAAGAAAAGAAGAAGATCAAGAACCAGAGGAACAAGCAGGAGAAGAGGGAAAAAAGGAAGAGAATAAAAACTAACAAGAAGAAACAAGGAAAAAAAAGAAGACTACCATTTAAAAGAGGGAACAGAAAGTGCAGAGTATTATACAAAAAAGACTACTAAAAATACCTGCCCTAGAGCGCCCCTGGAGTACCTGACTTCAGAAACAAATACAAACAAGGCCTCAGCGAGAAGGTTCACTGTAACTGCAAAACACACTGGAAGGTGAAATACGGAAGAAAGGAGGAATAAGGGCGAAGGAGAAGAGGGTCGAGAATGAAGAGGATGGAAGGGATGAGTGTTAAGAAAAGAGTTTACGAACGATAAAAAAGGAAAATTAGGAGAAAGAAACAGGGAAGAGGAAGCAGGGAGAAAGAGGAGGGAAGAGAAGAATGAGAAGGGAAGAGTAAAGACAAGAGCGTGGGAAGAAGGGAATATGGGAGGCATTTAAGAAGAGGAAAAGGGGAGAAAGTCATAGGGGACTGGAAGAAGGGAGAATGCTAGGGAGGAAAGAAACTTGTAGAGAGGCGAGAGTAGGATGAAAAAGGGAGCGACTGAAAAAAAGAATATGAGGAGAGGACAAAGAGGGTAGAAGGGAGGAAAAGGGGGAAGAGAGGAAAAGGGGGAGAGCATAAAGAGAAAGATGGCAGAAATAAAATAAAAGAGAAAGAAAACGTGAGGATAGACGCAAGAAATAAGACGAAATGAGAGGGGAGATACGAAACTGAAAGGAAAAAGAAGGGAGAAGAAATCAAATAGAGAAGAGTCGAGAAACGAGTAGAATAGAAGGGAAAGACATAAGAAGGGGTAACAAGGAGAAAGAAGGAAGAAGAGATCAGAGAAGGGAAAGGGGAGAGGGGAGAAAGATGTGACGAGAAAGGAGCAGGGAAAAGAGGGGAAAAGAGAGCGGAGAAAGGAGCAAAGAACAGACAAGAGAGAAGGAAGAGGGGAGACGGGAGCTGGGAAAGAGGAGAAGGAGGGGAAAAGAGGACGGAGAGAAGAGCAAAGAACAGAAAAGGGAGGAAGGAGAGGAGAGAGGGGAGAGGGGAGCAGCTCTGGCCAGCAACGAGCGCCCCGTGAAGGTGTGATCTGCTTGAACCATTTATAATTCAGATGAGACAGAGCCTGAACTCAAGGGGTCGTTAATGCCCACTTTTCATCATTATCCATTCTGTCTATCTCCCCTTTATTTCGCTTGTTTTTCGCCTCCCAGATTCTTCCATCGGCCGCACGACAGGGGATCCATTTGCCTTAATAGTCGTCGCGTGTTATTGTCATTAAAGAGCAGGCGCGGGGAATCAGGGCATAATTGCATGCCGCCATCCGGGACCTCTTGCTCTCTTTCTGCTCATCTTGTGCTCTCTCTCTCTCTTCCTTTCTGTGCTGGCTGTCGTGAGCAGTCACGAGTACGCGGACAGAGAATGTACTGTTTTATATATATATATATATATATATATATATATATATATATATATATATATATATATATATATATATATATATATATATACACATACATACACACACACACGCACACACACACACACATAGAAGAGAGAGAGAGAGAGAGAGAGAGAGAGAGAGAGAGAGAGAGAGAGAGAGAGAGAGAGAGAGAGAGAGAGAGAGAGAGAGAGAGAGAGAGAGAGAGAGAGAGAGAGAGGACAGAGGACAGAAACAGAGACAGAGACAGGGACAGAATAAAGAGACAGAGACAGACAGAAGAGAGAGAGAGAGAGAGGGAGAGGAAGAGAGAGAGAGAGAGAGAGAGAGAGAGAGAGAGAGAGAGAGAGAGAGAGAGAATGAGTAAGAGAGAGAGAGAGAGAGAGTGAGAGAGGATGAGTTAAGAGAGGGAGAGACGAAGATAGAGAGAGCGAGAGAGCGAGAGATATGCGTGAACAGGGCAACTTCAACTGATCGGCGACACCGCGACCGAATGAACAAACTCTCTCCTTGAACAAATACGCGGCGCGACGGTCGAGGCGTATCATCATCATCTCCCACGGCCGAAACCGGCTAGGCAGGTGTGTGCGTGTGCTATATGTGGACGTAGGCACGTTTATGTGATGTATGCGTGTAAATAGGCATGTATGTACGTAGGAATGTATATGTGTGCATGTGTATGTGTGTATGTGTGTATGTGTGTATGTGTGCATGTGTGTATGTATGTATGCATGTATGTATGTATGTATGTATGTATGTATGTATGTATGTATGTATGTATGTATGTATGTATGTATGTATGTATGTATGTATGTATATGTATATGTATAGGTATATGTATGTATACACACAACTTTACATGTATAATCAAATTGGAAAAATATGAGGGCTTACAAAGATGCAAATGATATGCGGAATTCCCTTTTCGTTGTTTTCCTCTTTGTTCTTCCTTTTTCTGCTTCTTTATTCTTACCTCATAATATATATATATATATATATATATATATATATATATATATATATATATATATATATATATATATATATATATATACATATACATATATATATATATATATATATATATATATATATATATATATATATATATATATATATATATATATATATATATATAAAAGGAATAAAACAATAAATGCACACAAAACTCGCTCTTAATCACGTACGTCAGATTTTAATCTTAGATATTCAATCTGACATTAATGTTCTTAAACTACCTGTCAGATGCAGAGAGAGCAAATGAGGGCGGGAGTGCTGGAGGAGCAATCGAAAACGGTCATGAATATTTGATTGCATAAAATAGCCCTTAGGATGAAGTCCACATCCCCAACATTAATGATTACTGGGAATCTGTTATTCGAAGTTTTTTTTTAATATTAAAATGATTGAACTTATCGTGGCTCGAGATGATATTACACAGACAGTTATGTACTTCATCTGTATCACTTGATCGCTTTTCGAAGACTACGATATATATACTTTGATTGCAGATAAAATGACCATATGAGACGAACTTTCTTTCAACATGAAACTAGATAAAGAAAAAAAAATGTGAGATATTATATTACCTGCTGATTTTTATAAACCAAAAACAAAAAATTAAAAAAAGTAAAGGACTCTACTCAACTGACAAGTACCAGCTCTCCAAATATATAAATCTATTGCGAGAATATTAAATAAAAGAATATTCAAAGTATCCCTTCATATATCTGACAGATGAAGAGATAGTCTGACTGGCAGCTCTATGGCACTTAAAAAAAAAGGAATTCTCCAGCGCTGGCACCTGACATCTTGTTCGAGGAGGTCAGGGAGAAACAGATGCTAAAATGCCCTTTTCTTCTTAGAAAATCAATACCGCAAGTCATATGGGCTCAGCATCATTGATTTGTCTCCCATCAGCTACAATATTCAAAGCCTGTTCAGCCCGTGACATGAGGGTCCCAGAGAGCAAGGAAAACCGGCGTGTGTGTCTCTCCTCCAAGCAAGGGCGGCTGTTGGCTCTTTTTTTCATATTATTTTTCCCATTCTTTCTTTTTAATTCCTCTATTGGGGACAGAAACGCTTTCCTCCTAAACAATGTAACTGAACACATTTCCAACACACTCTTTATAATGACCTAGAAACAGGCTCTTTAAACTGCACATTATTTTTTTTCTCCATTTGTAATCCACCTTCGATGACACAAATTACTAGCGTTTCATAACAGGTAAAATTATTTCAACACCATATAATCCACACATAAACATACTCGCGCCCACCGTCATTTAACAGTGATTTAACTTTTAGTGTTATAAACGTTTGTAGCAAACGGATTAACTGTGTATATATTCATTAACAGTGACATAATTTTTGCCATCAAATCGCTTGTAATATGATCCTCGCAACTCAATCTGTTGCAACGCCTCGGCCCGCAGCTGCAGGGAAAACATCTGGCTTGTGTTTGTACAGACGAACCTATTTTTCTTCTTTCTCTCTCTCTTTTTTTTTTCTTTTTTGGGGGGAGGAGAACAATGCTCATGACGCCATCCCTTGCGAATGCCTTAAGCAAATTATATAAAGAAGAGCCAGAGTGACATGTACTTGATCTTGCAATTCAGATCTTATTTGGAGATCTGGCCGGACTGCACAGGCCATCTGGCGGGCGGGGAAGGAGGTGCTCGGGCCCGGCGCTGCGTGGCCCGGCGGAGGAGGGGGCGGGGTGCCCCACCTCGGCTGCTCGTTGGGACTGAGGTGATGGTGATGGTGGTAGTAGTGGTGGTGGTGGTGATGATGATGATGATGATGATGATGATGATGATGATGATGATGATGATGATGATGATGATGATGATGATGGTGAACATGAGGGTAATGGTGATGATGGTGACGATGATGATGATGATGATGATGATGATGATGATGATGATGATGATGATGATGATGATGATGATGATGATGATGATGATGATGATGATGATGATGATGATGATGATGATGATGATGATGATGATGATGATGATGATGATGATGATGATGATGATGATGATGATGATGATGATGATGATGATGATGATGATGATGATGATGATGATGATGATGATGATGATGATGATGATGATGATGATGATGATGATGATGATGATGATGATGATGATGATGATGATGATGATGATGATGATGATGATGATGATGATGATGATGATGATGATGATGATGATGATGATGATGATGATGATGATGATGATGATGATGATGATGATGATGATGATGATGATGATGATGATGATGATGATGATGATGATGATGATGATGATGATGATGATGATGATGATGATGATGATGATGATGATGATGATGATGATGATGATGATGATGATGATGATGATGATGATGATGATGATGATGATGATGATGATGATGATGATGATGATGATGATGATGATGATGATGATGATGATGATGATGATGATGATGATGATGATGATGATGATGATGATGATGATGATGATGATGATGATGATGATGATGATGATGATGATGATGATGATGATGATGATGATGATGATGATGATGATGATGATGATGATGATGATGATGATGATGATGATGATGATGATGATGATGATGATGATGATGATGATGATGATGATGATGATGATGATGATGATGATGATGATGATGATGATGATGATGATGATGATGATGATGATGATGATGATGATGATGATGATGATGATGATGATGATGATGATGATGATGATGATGATGATGATGATGATGATGATGATGATGATGATGATGATGATGATGATGATGATGATGATGATGATGATGATGATGATGATGATGATGATGATGATGATGATGATGATGATGATGATGATGATGATGATGATGATGATGATGATGATGATGATGATGATGATGATGATGATGATGATGATGATGATGATGATGATGATGATGATGATGATGATGATGATGATGATGATGATGATGATGATGATGATGATGATGATGATGATGATGATGATGATGATGATGATGATGATGATGATGATGATGATGATGATGATGATGATGATGATGATGATGATGATGATGATGATGATGATGATGATGATGATGATGATGATGATGATGATGATGATGATGATGATGATGATGATGATGATGATGATGATGATGATGATGATGATGATGATGATGATGATGATGATGATGATGATGATGATGATGATGATGATGATGATGATGATGATGATGATGATGATGATGATGATGATGATGATGATGATGATGATGATGATGATGATGATGATGATGATGATGATGATGATGATGATGGCTCCTTTACACTAGTGTACCCTAGCGAAGTCTGTTTGTCTGTTTCTCTCTCTCTTTGTATCCCTTTTCCTTTCCCATTTCCCTTTCCCTCGTCCTTTTTACTCTTTCTGTCTCTCTTTCTCTCATCCCCCCCCCTCTCCCTTTCCCTGTATGTTTGTCTGTCTACTTTTCCATTCTCTTCGCCCCCCCCCCCCCTCTCTCTCTCTCTCTCTCTCTCTCTCTCTCTCTCTCTCTCTCTCTCTCTCTCTCTCTCTCATACACACACACACACACACACACACATGATGATGATAATGATGACAATGTTAATGATAATGGTGAATACCGAATAATGACCATTCGATTCACAATGAAAATGAGAATAGTAAGGAATAATGAATAATAAGTGTTTATCATTCTACTTCGCAGCTGCCCGTATAATACCAGCATAAATGTACGTAAGCAAACAGGCACACATGCAACTTAAGCAAACACACAAACATACAATAACCGCAAACAAACAGAATGCAAACACAATCACATACACATTGCATCCTACACAAGCAAAAATACACACAAACACACCGTAAACAAACAAACTAACAAACAGGCAAAATATTCTTTTGATATCTTCCATAAATTAAAAAAAATAAGAAGAAGAAGAAGAGAACAGGCACTAAAAGCAATCGTGATAAAAGCAATAAAAGCAATCGCGATATCTCAACAAGCACTAGCTAAAACAACGCACGAGCTCCCTGCTTAAGCCCAACACCCTTTCCACACACCTCGCCAAGGGGGACGGTTTAAGGGGGGCAAGGGAGACGAGGGGACGGCTTAAGGGGGGCAAGGGAGACGGGGGGACGGCTTAAGGGGGGCAAGGGAGACGAGGGGACGGTTTAAGGGGGGCAAGGGAGACGGGGGGACGGCTTAAGGGGGGCAAGGAGACGGGGGGACGGCTTAAGGGGGGCAAGGGAGACGGGGGGACGGCTTAAGGGGGGCAAGGAGACGGGGGGACGGTTTAAGGGGGCAAGGGAGACGGGGGGACGGCTTAAGGGGGGCAAGGGAGACGGGGGGACGGCTTAAGGGGGGCAAGGGAGACGGGGGGACGGCTTAAGGGGGGCAAGGGAGACGGGGGGACGGCTTAAGGGGGCAAGGAGACGGGGGGACGGCTTAAGGGGGGCAAGGGAGACGGGGGGACGGCTTAAGGGGGCAAGGAGACGGGGGGACGGCTTAAGGGGGCAAGGAGACGGGGGGACGGCTTAAGGGGGCAAGGAGACGGGGGGACGGCTTAAGGGGGCAAGGAGACGGGGGGACGGCTTAAGGGGGCAAGGAGACGGGGGGACGGCTTAAGGGGGCAAGGAGACGGGGGGACGGCTTAAGGGGGCAAGGAGACGGGGGGACGGCTTAAGGGGGCAAGGAGACGGGGGGACGGCTTAAGGGGGCAAGGAGACGGGGGGACGGCTTAAGGGGGCAAGGAGACGGGGGGACGGCTTAAGGGGGCAAGGAGACGGGGGGACGGCTTAAGGGGGCAAGGAGACGGGGGGACGGCTTAAGGGGGCAAGGAGACGGGGGGACGGCTTAAGGGGGCAAGGAGACGGGGGGACGGCTTAAGGGGGCAAGGAGACGGGGGGACGGCTTAAGGGGGCAAGGAGACGGGGGGACGGCTTAAGGGGGCAAGGAGACGGGGGGACGGCTTAAGGGGGCAAGGAGACGGGGGGACGGCTTAAGGGGGCAAGGAGACGGGGGGACGGCTTAAGGGGGCAAGGAGACGGGGGGACGGCTTAAGGGGGCAAGGAGACGGGGGGACGGCTTAAGGGGGCAAGGAGACGGGGGGACGGCTTAAGGGGGGCAAGGGAGACGGGGGGACGGCTTAAGGGGGGCAAGGGAGACGGGGGGACGGCTTAAGGGGGCAAGGAGACGGGGGGACGGCTTAAGGGGGCAAGGAGACGGGGGGACGGCTTAAGGGGGGCAAGGGAGACGGGGGGACGGCTTAAGGGGGCAAGGAGACGGGGGGACGGCTTAAGGGGGCAAGGAGACGGGGGGACGGCTTAAGGGGGGCAAGGGAGACGGGGGGACGGCTTAAGGGGGCAAGGAGACGGGGGGACGGTTTAAGGGGGCAAGGGAGACGGGGGGACGGTTTAAGGGGGCAAGGGAGACGGGGGGACGGCTTAAGGGGGCAAGGAGACGGGGGGACGGTTTAAGGGGGCAAGGGAGACGGGGGGACGGCTTAAGGGGGCAAGGAGACGGGGGGACGGTTTAAGGGGGCAAGGGAGACGGGGGGACGGCTTAAGGGGGGCAAGGGAGACGGGGGGACGGCTTAAGGGGGCAAGGAGACGGGGGGACGGTTTAAGGGGGCAAGGGAGACGGGGGGACGGCTTAAGGGGGCAAGGGAGACGAGGGGACGGTTTAAGGGGGGCAAGGGAGACGGGGGGGACGGCTTAAGGGGGGCAAGGGAGACGAGGGGGACGGCTTTAAGGGGGCAAGGGAGACGGGGGGACGGTTTAAGGGGGGCAAGGGAGACGGGGGGACGGCTTAAGGGGGGCAAAGGAGACGGGGGACGTTTTAAGGGGAGGGCAAGGGAGACGGGGGGACGGCTTAAGGGGGCAAAGGGAGACGGGGGGACGGCTTTAAGGGGGGCAAGGGAGACGGGGGACGGTTTAAGGGGGGCAAGGAGACGAGGGGACGGCTTAAGGGGGGCAAGGAGACGAGGGGGACGGTTTAAGGGGGGCAAGGGAGACGGGGGACGGCTTAAGGGGGCAAGGGAGACGGGGGGACGGCTTAAGGGGGCAAGGGAGACGGGGGGACGGCTTAAGGGGGCAAGGGAGACGGGGGGACGGCTTAAGGGGGCAAGGAGACGGGGGGACGGTTTAAGGGGGCAAGGGAGACGGGGGGACGGCTTAAGGGGGCAAGGAGACGGGGGGACGGCTTAAGGGGGCAAGGAGACGGGGGGACGGCTTAAGGGGGGCAAGGGAGACGGGGGGACGGCTTAAGGGGGCAAGGAGACGGGGGGACGGCTTAAGGGGGCAAGGAGACGGGGGGACGGCTTAAGGGGGCAAGGAGACGGGGGGACGGCTTAAGGGGGGCAAGGGAGACGGGGGGACGGCTTAAGGGGGCAAGGAGACGGGGGGACGGCTTAAGGGGGGCAAGGGAGACGGGGGGACGGCTTAAGGGGGCAAGGAGACGGGGGGACGGCTTAAGGGGGGCAAGGGAGACGGGGGGACGGCTTAAGGGGGGCAAGGGAGACGGGGGGACGGCTTAAGGGGGCAAGGAGACGGGGGGACGGCTTAAGGGGGCAAGGAGACGGGGGGACGGCTTAAGGGGGCAAGGAGACGGGGGGACGGCTTAAGGGGGGCAAGGGAGACGGGGGGACGGCTTAAGGGGGCAAGGAGACGGGGGGACGGCTTAAGGGGGCAAGGAGACGGGGGGACGGCTTAAGGGGGCAAGGAGACGGGGGGACGGCTTAAGGGGGCAAGGAGACGGGGGGACGGCTTAAGGGGGCAAAGGAGACCCCTCACATTCAAGTGAAATTACCAGCGTGGGGTGATTACCTGCTCTATGCTTCACCATAACTCAGCATGTACCACGCCAGAAACAACACCGGTAACGCAATTCTATAACGTTAACAATAATAGCTACAATGGCCTTTCGATCTAAAAAAAAATATATATATATAATGTTTAAACCTGATAAAAAAAAGATATCTGTTCGAGCAACGGCAACACTACAGTGAAGTGTGGGCGTTTTACTGTTACTGATAATGGAGCTTTCGCTTTAAAATGATAAAATATTTGTCTTCCTTTTTTATCTTCTCCTTCCTCCTCTCGATCAGCACGTATACCTTTTCAAATTGTTACTCTGATTATATCCTTTTTTCTTTCCTTCTCTCTCTTTCCCTATCCATCTCTCTCCCTTTCTCTCGTTTCGCTTTCTACCTCTTTTTTATATCTTTCTTCTATTCTCCGTCTCCATCTCTCCCTCTCCCTCGCTTAGAAGGGTCTGGGAAAATCAAAGATAATACAAGGATAAAAAGAGAAAGAGAAGAGAAAAACAAACAAAAAATTAAAATCACGATAAAAGCGAAAAAAACTTCACTCTTATTCTCTGTATCCCTCTCTCCTATTCTCTTTATCTATACCTTCTAACTCGCTCAAAATGCTAACAAAACAAGGATAAAAACGTGACATAAGGGGAGGAGAAAAAAAAAGACTTAAAAATAAGCAAGATAAAAGCGAGAGAAAAAAAATTGCACTCCGTCTCCCTCTCTCCTATTCTCTATCCCCGTCCCTCTCCTATCCTCCTCCTCTTTCTCTCTCCCTCTCTCGCTGAAAAGGGTCAGGGGAAATCAAGTTAATACAAAGATAAAAAAGAGCGACAGCGAAGGATGAGAAAAGAAAAAGACTTAAAAGGAAGCAAGATAAAAGCGAAAGGAAAAAAAATAAATCCTTTCATCTTGCCCTGACATCCTGTGTTCTTAATTCGAAATGATTCTCTGTCCTCTGTCTGTCTGCCTGTCTCCGTCTTTTTTTATGAATGGCTCTCGATCCCTCATTACCTCCCTTTGTCTCTCATTAACCTGCCACGAACGAAAAGGCCTCGTCCTGCTCTATCTATTCTTAAATGTGTCCATCTTTTTCCCCTTTTCTCTCTCTCTCTCTCTCTCTCTCTCTCTCTCTCTCTCTCTCTCTCTCTCTCTCTCTCTTCTCTCTCTCTCTCTCTCTCTGTCTGTCTGTCTCTCTCTCTCTCTCTTTCTCTCTCTCTCTCTCTCTCTCCCTCTCTCTCAATATTTTGCCCCCATTTTCTACCCTGGGGTTAAAATGAACGGCGACATCCCCGGCCTAAAAATTGCATCAATCCCGGCGCAAATACAGCAGGCGAACCCTTTCCGGTCTTAGGCCTAATCCCATACCCTCGTCGCTAATGAGTGCTGCGCCGTCGCTCTTATCCGTCTCCAT